TTCAGACATTCTCATATCGTCTCTCGCATTGCATCGTCTCATGCTTTGACCCTGCTTTCTTGTCCATATGCTATCTTCACATCACATTTTGCTTTATCTTGCTCATTTTCCTTATGTCTTGTTTGCTCTCCTTTATGCTTTCCTCTCTATTTCGCTCGCTTTCCTTGTCTCATTATATTTCTTTCATGATTATGCTTCATTTCTCCCTCTTACATTCTACAGTCAACCCGCTTACATCCACCACTCCACCTATCCACCAACAACACCTTATACTGCCCGAAGACTGCGCCGGGCCTGTCGCGCAGCGACGGTAGACTCTCCTTTTCATTCGAATCGGAGCTTTGTTCACCGTTACCTACACCTACCCACATCACTGTATCCACTAGCTACTTATATTTCGAGTACGCTTTAGATAGACTAGCAGTAGACTACATCCCTGAGCGTCGCTGGGGCTGTGCGACGCATGTTTCGGGTTCAGACTTCGCCGTAAATAATTTTGACTTCAAATTCTGTACCCTTTTTTTTTGGGATGAACGGAGCGTTTTCCTTCGTGAACGGTTGACAGTCAAACTTCAAGAATTGGATTGACAGAGAAGATGAGGACATCATATCCAGATAGGCGATGTAGTAAGTACGGTCTGCCTAGGGGGTGAGAAGGGGGAGCGTCAAAATTTGGATCAGACATACAATGCGACGCCACATCGAAAGTCACTGGAGTCTTACTCTGTAGATACAAACATTTGGGGTCGGTTTATGACCTAGGAATCAAGCCGAAATTCAGTACCCGATGATACAGTAGTTGACGGAGTTTGTTGCTTTTGCTCAGCACTGGTCAAGCTGAGCACCGCGATCTCTGCGCCTTGGCTCTTGACTCCACACTCTTTCGACAGACTCACTTCCAAGTAGTGCATTGATCATTCGTCTATAGGACAACACGCACCTCCCCTGGTCAGCGCTCGAGTAAACTTGAGTAAATGCTACTACATTTGCTGTGCCCTTCCTTGGCACTATCTATTGCTATATTCGACCAGCCTATCGGCTATAATATCGTTCCCTTGCAGAACCAATTCATATGTCATAGATTCTGGGGCTAAATATTCGCACGTCATCAGAAAAGTACGAACAAAGGGGGTGTAACAGCAAACGCAAGAAGATAAGAAAGGACGGGAGTACTCATAGTCATCGTTCCAAGCGGCCACCGCGCTGGCGTGTCTTTTTTAAGGGTTAGCGGTTTTACTGGTAACGTGAGAAGACAAGCTGCATATCGAAAAGAGTCTGTTTTCAGTGTACGGTCGGTATAAGATGAAGGGAAACATAGCCGAGTGAGCGATCTGACGCCACAACGCCAACGCCACACTTCCACCTTCACGCATCAACTCTGCACAGCACTCCCCCAATGTCCAATCTGGTTCGAACGTATGCTCCATGTCCGTGCTTTCAGGAAGCAGCGGATTACTCGCCACTTGCTGAAATCGAGCCAGATCCTCCGCTGCCGCTGCCACCGGAATTCTGCCCGCTCGGCTTGCGCGTCCTGACAACCTTATTTCTCAACGCCTTCTCCTTGAGTTCGTTTTCCCTCTTTTCTAGCTCTTCCCTGTCCGATCTCTTATCTGTACCGGATTGCTGTTGATTGAGCACAGATGTCGACGAAGAAAAATAAAGAATGTTGCATAAGTTCAACTTCCAAGGGTCTATTGAAGGCCAAGAAGGTTTGGACTGACCTTCTCCTCTTCCTCCCATTTACTTTTCCTTCGCTCCACTTCCGCCTGTCCCTTGATTTTCAGTCCGCCACCATCACCACCACTACCGCGGGTCCCTTCAGCCCCTTTCCCCTTTTCTCTCAAAGCCGGTTTCCCATCATCCACGTCCATCTTCCTGCTATCCTTGCTCCTGCTCCTGCTCCGACTCCTCCGAACGCCTCTATCTCTTCCGCCACCACCTCTTCGATTATCAACAGGTGACAGGCGCCTTCTTCTGTCCCTGTCATTGGGCGTAGGACTTCTCCTCCTCCTCGGCGGACTCCTGGCATACGGGCTCCGGCTACGACTCCTACTCCTGCTCGAGCTAATCCTTCGCCTTCTTGGCGGTGGACTCCGACTATCTCTTCCCCTCCTCGACCCCCTGCCACCACGACCGCCGCCTCCGCGTCTCCTCGGAGGGGGTGGAGAGTACGAAGGGGAACGACGGCGGCGCCGGGTGGGAGGGGACGGTGGAGAGCGAGAGCGAGAGATGGAACGAGGACGACGGACGGGAGTCGGGGAACGAGAGCGAGAACGAGAACGAGAGCTGCGGCTGGAGATGGAAGGAGGGCGATCACGGCTGCTGCGGGGTGGGGGGCTTCGGGAAGTGGAACGAGAGCGACCGCGAGGTGGTGGTGGTGGTAGGGGCGCACGACGGGCAGGTGGTGTTCGGGAACGAGAGGAACGATCACTTGAAGGGGTGCGAGAACGAGAACGACGACGGGGTGGGCTACGGGAGCGAGTACGAGAGCGCGAGCGGAAACGACGCTGTGAAAGATGTCATGTAAGAAGAAGTCAATGGTGGTTGTAATTGAGGCTTACCCCTCCGCCACCTCTGGGACCACCGTCGTAACCACCCCGAGGGCCGCCTCTATTTCCCCATCCACTGTCCCTGGCTCCTCCACGACCACCTCCTCTTCCGCCACCGCCACCCCTCTCCGAATCGTAGCCAAACCCACCTCGACCACGGCCCCGTCCTCTCCCTCTGAAACCACCGCGCTCATTCCGCTCGTTTCTCTCCCTGTCCCTGATCTCGTCCAATCTCGCTCTACGATCTCTCTCGTCCAAAGCGCGCGTATCGCCCTCTTTTGCCTGACGCATTTCGGCTTTCTTCTCCTCAACGAATGTTTTCGGGATGCCAGCATGTGATTCCTGCGCTTCGAGGAGGAGTGCCCAAAGGGCGGACATGAATGAAGCGGTAGATTTGGTGAGGAAACCTGTCAGGTTTATTTGCATCTTTTTGGGGTCGGGCGTCTATAAACATATATAGGAATCGAAAAGGAAATCAGTCTCCGTCGCAAAAGGAAAAGGGTGAAAGGGTGCGCACTGGTGATGACTCGTCTTCTAGCAAGCCCATAGCATACTCTACGACGACTTCGTCCTCGAAGCCGACGAGCTCTATGACTTTCTTGGTTACCCATGGACGTATGACAGTCAAGTTGACTTTGCGCATGTCAACCTGTGCGGACACATCAATACTGCAGTTGTCCGTGAGCTGCAAAAGAAGCGCACCTTTTTGTCGAATTCGGGAGGGAACTTCATTGACTTTAAGAGTTTTAGCTCCTTGTCGGAGAACCTCCGGTCTTGGTCGGCAGACGTGCCCTTGAAGAAACCTAGAGATGAATATTCGCGGTGTTATTGGTGTAAAGTCAGGTACAGTTTCTTGTACTTGAGCCTGTCCCAGTTCATGCTTACCTGCGTCAGCCATGATCAGTTGTCAGAGGATTATACAAGCTGTTACGACGGGGTACGGATTTCGGCCACGAATGTATGCTCGATGATGGCTGCGAGAGCGAAGTTCGACGTTCGTCAACGGCGCGAACTAGTCTTGTCCAATTTGGGAGGTTTTGGCGGGGCGACCCCCAAAGACCATATATGGAAATTCATGATAACGCGGAAGCCCTGATCTCATCTAAGCGAAGCGATAACCGTGGGGGGCGCAAGAGGCATTCACAGAGTTCGTGTCTTTGTCTCGACCCATGTCCATTCTTGTTCTTACTTTACTGTGAGGAGAGGTGCCCTTGTGTTTTCCCTAACCATGCACAGCTAAATCTCATATATTAAGTCTCACTGCATACATTCTACAATAAATATCTAAGTAGTAAGATGGCGGCGGCCTCACTGCTAACTGCAACTCTCCCGAGTTCATATACTCGATGACATTCACCAAATCGCGCTCATGGTTTGCGCTGGATCACGGTAATCCTCTGAGAATAATATTTGGTGGGCTATCTGTAAGCAACGCTTGCGAGATTCACCTTCTTTCCGCCACTGTGGCCCCTTGTCGGAAAATATTCCAGGACCTTTTAAGTACTTACAAGGCTATATCAGGTATATCAGGCCGGACCGGCCTGGCAATGATTGAAAGGGGGGAGAAACTCCCTGGGAAGGCCGCTTGTAAGGCCGCTTGTAAGGTCGCCGGGATCCAGTTTATGAACGGTGATGGCAATGGGCCTAGGCGTCGTTGGGCTGGCCGGGCTTGGGCAGGCGGTCGGGCGTGCCGGTGTGGCCCTGCGTAAGGTGGAGGGGGGCCACGTCGTTGATGCCCATGTCGTCCCCAACCTGACTGAGCGAGTGTGCACAATACGTTGAATGGTCACTTTCGTAGGTTGTGGCCATAGAGCGACATTGCAAGTGCTCGTTTGAGCGAGTTTGGAGGTGTTTTAGGATCGGGTGGCTGAGCGCGCGTGCTCCGGGCATGCCTAATCGGGGAGTACCCCTTATCAGACCGGTCCCAGCCGGGAAAGATACCTTACAAGGCAGCTTGTAATCTAATCACCTTTCAAGCTCCGCAAACATTTTCCGACACTGGCCCCTGATCATTGTGGCATCGCTCGTCCACCTCAGTCTGTGCCGGCCATTTGCTGACATCTGTCTTTCTGAGTCGAGAACACCTTGAGACGCAGGTTAATTTTCTTGAATGTCAGTTTACCAAGCCCTTTGTGGACGAGATTGTTGACGAGTTCCACTGATCAGGTGGGGGTGTGGCTTACCATGCAGATGTGCCGGTTTGAAAGCTATGTATCTTAGAGTGTTATAATCAAAAATTCGGTCTGAAAAATACGGAGTAAAGATGCAGAATAAGATGGCAGAGAATCTGATACACACGGGCAGGAAGGATCCAGGAGCAGAAACGAAAACCTACGCACCTTCGCTGTGCCACCCTTGCCGTGTGGCACCGAACTGAGAGATCCGACGCGACCCAGAAATTTCCTTATATGGTCTTTCGGGGGCGCCCCGCCAAAGTCCCAGAAATTGGAACAGACCTTATATAATGATTTCTTATATAAGGTCTGGTTAGAGACTAGGCGCGAACGCAGGCGTGTGAACAGTGACCCAAAATAGGAGTGCCACAGTGCCACTCATCCACATCCGACAGCCTCTCTCGTTTATCCATACGACCACCACGTTGAGCCGGTCGACTCACAGCACCATACAAATCTTGCTACCATCGATATTTATCACTGCCAGGAACCGGGTGCTTGACTTGGCTCATTCCTCGCTCACTTGCTTGCTAGTTATTCGCTAAATTTTCCAGCATTTACTAGCCATCCTCCTTGTACCTCTGGCTCTGGTCGACAGCACGAGGGATGGATACGGCAAGAGCAGACTGCGAGAAACTGAAGACTTGTCGGCTTGATTGATTCGCATCTGACCATGATCATTATGATGTGTGTAAGTAAGGGCCAGTGCAAGGACTTCGGCGGCAGGCCGTAAATAGGCATTCGTAAGTGATGTATTCTGTCAGTCAACGGGAGTCTGAATATTGCTCAGTTACGCCATTATACTTCTAGGTCTTCATGCTTTCTGGCCGCGTGTTCTCGACAAGGCTAGTCGTCTTCGACTCCGACCTTATCCCGATAACACACTCCAGTCTTAGAAATCAGTATGTTCACGACCGCGGCTTTCGTGCATTCACTTCGAAGTCTATCCCGTCTAAACAGTATCTTATATGCAAGCGATCTCTCTACACGCCGACCGAGAGACGGCAACTATAACCTGATCACCGCCCGTGGTCGTCTCGTGCTGCAGGTTCAAGCTCAGGCTACCCAAGAACGGGCTCTTTCCACCGTCCATGCTGTTACTAGAATCAAAACTGGCTTAAAATATCCTTTCTACTCTCAAAAACATCGCCCTCGGTTTCTTGGCGTAACGAAACGACGCGGGTACAATGACTCTAGAGTGTTTGATGGGTGCCTGCTTTCTGCCCATATTTCTGCATAATTCTCGCCTATTATCCATACTGGATGCTATAAAGGCCGCCTTCGATATCTTCAGCACTTTATTTACACCCACCAGCTCCGCTATCCAACCAACAACCTCAATCTTGCCTTACCCACCTCAAAAAGTCACACAAACATGTTCTCCTTTAAGTCCCTGCTCGCCCTCGTTTCTGTCTCCGCCCTCTTCGCCGTCAGTGTCAATGCGGAGGGAAACAGTACAACTTGTGATTTCACCATGGCGCCTACGCCTGACCTGGGTGTCGATGCTCTCCAGAGCTCCGTCAACTTTGGTCAGTCATTTCTCCCATTTTATTATTGGATAGGTATAGTTGCTAACACCTTGTCCTCGCTCGTTTGCTGAATAGCCATTGGCTCGACCATCGGCGAAGAATACCCTAGTACCGTATTGACCGTAAGCCTCCCGCATCCTCTCACCTTTCCTTCGCTCCTCCCATCATAGGTTCTCCAACCTTGCGCCACACTTCACTGCTTAACCATCATATTTTTACACTATCCCAGGACGTCAACACCCTCACCAGCAACGCCGACGGCACCTATACCGTTCACTCCGTCATCTCTGTTACCGACCAGGACGGCGCGTCCGTCGGCCAGTTCGTCGAGACCTGGGTCGGACAATCGTTGTATGGGATCCAGGCGTACTGGTTAGTCGACGCGGCGAAGTGCGCCTGAGAGTTTGAACGCCTATTGGAAAGACTGAGGAGTGCGGAGATATAGGTGCAAGGTCTAGGTCTAGGAGTGGGTGGCTAAGCGGATCGTAACATGGATCTCCTTTGGTGTCTACTCGTTTTATAAGCGTAATGGATGCTCAATATCAGTATTCTCGCTGTCAACCCTTTCGTGAAACCGAAGAGACGGTTCATTGAACTGCTAGCCAGGGCCCAGAGCGGAACTGTTGAAGACCTCCGCTTTTTCCACGTCCCTCCATTGTGCGTTCGCGTTTAGTACCGAAGACAAACGTTATAATCGGTACATAGACGTCACCGCTGCCCACACCGTTCAGAATAACGGATCGCTCTGATCAACTTGAAAGTACCACAGCTTTCGAATCACTTGAGTCAAGGCTCGCCGCTCAATTTGAGTTCGAACTTCGCAGACATGACAAGCACGTAGGATGCAGATGGCAGTTCAACCGAAAAAGGAAATAATGTTAACAAAGCCCAATAGTACAGACAAATACAATAGATACGTCGTCAAACATGAACGTGAACAACGAAGACTGACTCCACAGAACTCCGTGAACACAAAAGGGTTGGAAGAGAAGACAAAGCAAGAGGTCTAAACCTCTTGGCTCTCGCCCTTCTTGCCCTTTGCGGTCTTGTTTGGCAGGAGCTGCGTAAGAATATCGAGTTAGCAACCAGATCGAATCGCTCAAGCATTGGGCGGAATAGGAATAGATGTAGAACAGAGCTGGATAGGAGACTAACCTCGGGGTTGATGAATGGCACGACACCACCTTGGGAGATGACGACGTCACCGAGGAGCTTGTTCAACCTGTACAACACAACCGAAACGTCAATGAAAAGAGAAATCAATGGAGAGAAAAGAAAGAACGCACTCCTCGTCGTTTCGGATGGCGAGCTGCAAGTGCCTAGGCACAATACGCTGCTTCTTGTTATCGCGCGCAGCGTTGCCCGCCAACTCGAGAATCTCGGCAGCGAGGTACTCAAGGACAGCAGCAAGGTAAACTGGACCAGACAAAGCAAGCAAGAACACATGAGTTGTTGTCAAACGAAAAGACTTCGCCAAACCCTGGAAGGATTGCTCAGAAGTTGGAAGGGAAGAAAACACGCACCAGGTGCACCAGCACCGACACGCTGAGCGTAGTTGCCCCTCTTCAAGAGACGGTGGACACGACCGACAGGGAACTGAAGACCAGCCTTGGCCGAGCGGGACTGAGACTTGGACTCGCCACCGGACGCCTTTCCTCCAGACTTAGCTTTGCCACCTTTGCCAGACATGTCGATTTGAGAGTGTTGGGGGGTTGGTGAGGGTTTGGTGAAAGTTGTGGTGGTAGCGGTGAGGCTGGAGAGGGAGATGGTAGTGGTGAGCGAGGAAGAGATAAATGGTGAAGAAGCAGACGGGAGCGGAGAGGGAGGGGGTTTATATACCGCGGCGGCAGCACGCGTGCCCTCAGCCACAGACGCGTTGAGCGTGATCACGTGTTGTTCAACAAAGAAATAAGGTTTATGGTCAACGAATCAGCGACGCGTTCCACGCTGTCTGCCGCGCCGCCAAACGCGTCTCCCACGTGATGTGCTGTGGTTGCCGCTATAAAGGCTCGACGCGGTCTTGCTCTCGTCCCCAATCCCTCTTCGTCCCCGCCCACCACAATCTCGTTCAGCTCCCGCTTCTCGCGTCTATAAACCGCCCGCCTCACTCAACCCACCTCATTCAACTCTATACTTCGTGATGGCTCCGAAACCCGCTTCCACTGCCGGCAAGGCTCCTGCCTCTACTGCCTCCAAGGCTCCCGCTAAGACCACCGAGGGCGCGAAGGCCTCGAAGGCCACCAAGAAGACTTCCAAGTCGACTGGTGAGGACGGTGAGAAGAAGAAGCGCAAGAAGACCCGCAAGGAGACCTACTCTTCTTACATCTACAAGGGTGCGTCGCGTTCTATTTTTTCACTTCATGCTTCTGTGGTCTATAGATGGGACTAACGCGTCGCTTTGGTTTTTCTCTTCTTTTTTTTTTGCAGTCCTCAAGCAGGTCCACCCCGACACTGGTATCTCCAACAAGGCTATGGCCATCTTGAACTCCTTCGTTCAGGACATCTTCGAGCGTATTGCCACTGAGGCTTCCAGTGCGTTCTCTTCAGTCAATGGGTCGATTTTAGCTGCTAATTATCTTGACCTCTTTAGAACTCGCATCCTACTCGAAGAAGTCCACCATCTCTTCACGAGAAATCCAAACCGCCGTCCGCCTCATCCTCCCTGGTGAGCTTTCCAAGCACGCCATCTCTGAGGGCACCAAGTCCGTTACCAAGGTTCGTCGCGCTTTTCTGCCCTCTATTGCCTCACATGCTTATAGCTCTCCGCATCGTGTAGTACTCCAGCGCGGGTGCGAAGTGAACTGGCTTGTGTTCTATCTTCCTTGTTCTACGGTGTGGGGCCTGTTGGAGGTGTGTCGAGTGGAGGCCCTTGTCTTCGCCGACTTCTTGTCGTTCGTCTTTGATTGGCTTGTACTTTATCGGTGTATTCATTTACGTTATTTATCCATCTATTCTCTCTTACACTCTACCACTGCGTCCGATTCTTCCTGTCCGACTGTCGTGACGAAAGCTCGAACAATCACATAAGTACCAATGTCTCGTCGGTTTAAACAGTCTAGGGCTCCGACAATAAGTCGGGAGTTAATAACAGCTGTAAAAAAGTGCTGTTAATAACTGTTTATAACTTGTTATTAACAACCCTCCCGATACGGTGCTATATAGATCTGTAAAAAAGGTGTAAGAAATCCTGACGTCTGGACAAGTAGATACGCGTTCAGGGAAGACTCTTTCGAGTTCCTGACTAACTCCTGACGTCGTATTCCATCCTCTAGGACCCCTAACCCGACCTAGACATGACTTTACCCTAACCTATTCCCACGACGGTCACAGCTTCCGAGTCTACGGTGCGTGTTCTCGCCAACGGCCTCACATACCATGAGTGTATGTGCTGTAGAACTTGTTCTAGGAGTTCAAATAGTAACCAGAGACGCTCAAAAGAACCGCTAGTGCTTTGAAAGCCCTCCAGGTCAGTCGAAACTGGCAGCTCCTGAGGGAAAATATAATATTTAAATCGATTTAAATATTCTGTTTTTAACTGTTTTTAACACCTGTAAAAAAGTCCCTCGGGGGCCGCCGAGTTACTAACACAGGGTATCATTGGCTCAGGACTTTTTGTCGGAGCCCTAAAACAGTCACTGGAACGTTTTGACTTCATCCAAATCAGCGGTGGTATGAATGAGTAGGCATACTTGTAGGGTGGCGTTGGCACTAGGCTGGATCTGGATGAGCTACTGCTGCGGTCGTGTTGGTACTAAGGTCTTGCATTGTGAGAAGCGAATGTGAACGTTTTCATGTTTTCATAATGTGGACGAACGAAATAGGTCACTGCTAACATGGCACCATCTTTGATCATCAATCTATCCGCATGTACGTCCTAACAGCTTGACCAAATTTATCCCAACCCCTCGATGAAACTTACTGACTTGGTAGAACCTGAAAGCCGTCGTGTCGAACCTCCGAAGATGAACCACCATCGTCAAACCATCGTGTTCCGTGAGAGGCACAAACAGGATGACAGTCGAGGACGACCTCAGATCTTTCCGATCATCAAGTTCCGGATGATTTCTCGGCCTGTGATGCGGAGCGTGTTGTAAATGGTGGGTACGTCAAGGGTGGAGGTGAGGGCGTCGGCGAAGCCAAAGGGCAACATTAGTGGGACCCAGCCTGGTAAAGTAAGAACGGAGTCAGTCGCCAAATCAGTGAGAACGCCTCTATCAAATTCCAACTCGAAATAAAGAAAACAATGTGGTATAATATACTTAGACGTGACCCACCTCTGACATACTCCATCGCCCAGGCTCCATCGTGCATCTTGTACTGATTCTTCACTCCCCTCCTCATCAAATGCAAGTCCCCTGGCCTATAAACCTCCTTCTCCAACGCTCCCGGCTCGAAAGCCCACTGCTCGCCAACCAAGATATGGAAATAATCGTCCGCGAGAAATAAGCCGGTGTGACCTTCCGTACCGGACGGCGTACCGAAGATGATGAGATATTCAGTTATGGACGCGTGGATCATGTACACGGCGCCCATCGCTCCACCGGCGTTGTTGAAGAACCAAGAGGATGGGTCTGTGGGAGGATTTGCATTGAGGGCGACGAGAGGGTGTGAGGAATTTGATGATGCAGATGAGGAGAAGGAGAGGGTGTGCTGAGGATAGGTTTCGTGGAGTGAGGTGAGGATGTAGGAGATCATGCCTTCCGTAGAATTGGGTGAGGCGGCGACGGCAGATTGGGCGAGTGCGTGAAGAGTCGGTGGGTCGAAAACATACCACCGGTCCTACGAAACATAATACGTCAGCCTAGTCGTATTGGGACTGTATCCTCGCGGTCAGACGAAGAAAACTACCTTGATACAGTCGAGGTAATAGCCTACAGCAGCTAGTATAGCGATGATGAATGCAGGAAACTTCAACTTCGAGAGGTGCCTAGTCGTCTGCTTTTGCCGAGTCTCTTTGACTCTATTAGAAACATTTGGAGCCTTTGGAGGTTCCATGGCTAACGACGAAAGTGAGATTGTTCAGATTAAAATCGTGGCTGGCTGCTAGTGGTCGTGTAGTGTTGAGGACAAATTGAGGACCAAGGCAAAAAAAACTCCACTGGACCCAGAATTTTGAGAAATTGTTTCTCCAACGGATGTTGACGAACGACTTTGATGAACTTTAGTGTCCAAAGGAACTTTCACATGTATTCGACCAGTGAACGGTCCAGTGAATATAATAACATGCTTTATAAGACATAGTGAACATCCAAATGCCAGCATCATGAGTAATCAGTAATACAAGCTCGGGGCGAGGGCCAAGGAGAGGAGACCGTCGTACGACGTTGCGTGAGCAAAGCAAGTCCTAGCAGAAAGCGCCAGCGGAGAGGTCGTACGAGAATGAGAATGTTCATTTTCAAGTTCAAACTCCGCGGCGCGTCGCCAATCATTGGCCAATTAGAGGGCGTGCGAAGTGTGGCGATCCCGCGGTATATGTGTGGCGCCGTCGAAGTCGCTTCTCTCTGGCCTCTCCGTCTTCTACATCATAATCTGGTTCAGGTATTTCATCGCGTTGGACTACTGAACCAGATCTACTGCGCGCGAGTTCACTACATACTGCGCTATCTTCATACTCGCTAAAATTCTACACTCTATCCTCTGGGCTCCTTACGCGACGACCCCGACGACCCATCACGAGCGTGACCTCAGGCAACAATTTTTTGGGACTTCCTCTATTTCACCTGCTACAATGGGAATCTCAAAAGCGCAAGCAGCAGCGAATAAAAAGGCTCAACAGAAGAAGAGCCGTCTCACAAAGTGGACACTGAGGACATTCGTCGTGACCATCCTGGCCGTTGTTGGGTACTTCCTCGATGGAATCAAGGTGAGTTCTCCGTTCTTAGTTCAAGCCGAGGCAGTCTTCTGGATATAGATATTGCTTCTTTCGTTCTCGTAATATTCAGGACCGGTGGTACATTTTCGACCCACCAGCTCTCCACGCACTCGCCCAAGCCGCCATCGCCGCCTCGCCTAACTCTACCGAAGGCATGATCACCCACATCCTCACCTCCTTGCACGAAACATACCCACAAACAGCCTCCTCCCAACGAGTCATTGCGCTCAACTCGCACGACCCTTTTGAAACACCGTCCGAATGGGTCTTCAACAATGCCGGCGGAGCGATGGGTGCCATGTACATCATTCACGCATCTATCTCCGAGTACCTCATCATATTCGGCACACCTTTGGGAACGGAAGGGCACAGCGGGATTCATACTGCGGATGACTATTTCCATATTTTGGTGGGAGAGCAGTGGGCGTTTGCGCCGGGCGAATTGGAGAGGGAGGTGTATAAGCCTGGAGACGTGCATTTGATGCCAAGGGGCGTAGCGAAGCAATATAAGATGCATGAGGGATGTTGGGCCATGGAGTACGCTCGCGGTGAGTATGGTCTGTCATTGGCTTCGGTCCCCCTTGCTTGTGTTCTCGTGCTTTCCTTGCGATGGGATAACAGGCCGTGTTGAGTATGACGCACTCGGTTTCTTTACCCCTGCCTTTCCCATTCGAATCTTGAGTTTGTCCTCAGTACTTTTTACTGACGTGAATTTATTCCGTGCAGGTTGGATCCCACTTATGCTCCCCTTCGGCTTCGCGGACGCTCTCACCTCCACGCTTGACATCCCCACGCTCTACAATACGGTCCGCATCACAGGGCGCGAAATGATCAGCAACCTACTCATTGGAAAGATCTAGAAACCCAAGGGGACTGTAGTACACACGCCTGCGGTAGTGTTGGGCCGTTGGAGGGTATATAGTGGAGGTAGAAAGGTATGCGGTCGGACGGCGAACGGGGGAAACACACATCAAGGTTTCTGTCAACGTTGGTGCATATAGAGTATCCCAGTCTCTCGGCTTCGTGCTGCTAATGTTGGTTGATATTTATGTTATGATATTGATCTCAACGATATCAAGTGATCCAAACGTACAGGAGCGTCGTTGGCCAAATTCAGCTCTCGGGCCACGGTCAAGCAGAATGGAGTCATCGTAGAAGGTAATGCGATGGTATGAGAAGTCTCGTACTTATGCTCTCCGACCATAGAATCTTCACCCGAACGGACCTTTGGCAAATGGCATGGACTATCGAAGTGCACCATTTGTCTACAGCTTAAGATGCATATTACTCGTCGACATCGTAGGCGCTTTGATATTCGGGCGGCCCTGATATCCCGCTGAGTACCCCTTCATGCTGGACCCGCATCGTACGATGGAGCCGTGCGATCTCTGCCTGTATACTGTCTATCCTCTCTCTTATATCCTCGTCCCCCTGCTCCCGCCGGTCCCTGCTCCTGTTGGTCGAAGCAGTACTCGACGCCCGTGCAGATAGGTTCGCCGTACTCAACGACGTACTTGCGAAAACATCCTGCATCTTTTCCCCATGCATTCTTGAAACCGGCTGAGACGTCGCGAAATTTGCTGAAGAAACTAAGGGTTCGATTTTATGCAGGGCCTCCTCGCGAGCGAAAAAGCGTTTTCGGCGTCGCAGTAGACAGATGATGGTTAAAATGACCAGTGAGATTCCTCCTGTTCCGCCGACCACACCTCCAACGATTGGTCCTACTGGCGTCGACCTAGAGGTGGGAGGGTTGGCTGCAGTAGTCCCAGCAGGTATATTCGGCGACGATATGGTTGTAGTAGCGGAGAAGTGCGTCGCCGATTCCGAGGCTATGATGGCTGATTCAGAACCCGAGAGGGGTTCGACCTCAGAATCCGTCCTACATAACGGTCAGTTAGGACCTCGAAGGCTTGATTGTTCTGGCAGCTGTCGTAAAAGGAAGGACATACGTGTAGATGGCGTAGTCAAAAAGAAGTAATGATGGTGGGTCTCCGCTCGAGTTCAGGACGACAGTACTGGTGTGGTTGTCCAGGTTTTCCGCGAAGTATACCAGCGAATTGTATATAAAGTCGGCTGCACCGTTGGGATTGTACTCGAATGAATCAACGAATCTCCCATTTAAGGTAATGTTGAAACTAGTGGCCGTGGTAGAGTCACTGATGATGTGGTCATCCAGGATAAAGTAGACGTATACAGCCGACCCTATAGGGCCATGCAAATATTAACCTCATCAGCTTTCGTCGTTTGTTGCTCACTTATGGCGGAGAGAGGGCCACGCACCGTTGAATGTAAGGGTGAGCTCACGGGGACCTCGTCCGCCATCGGCCGTCGAGTCATGCCATGTATGATTGAAGGCAAAGGCTCTATCCGGAGTGGCGAAGCAACCACCACATTCAGCTCCCTGTTGCCAGTCAGCCTTGTATTGTACGACTCCTCCACCAAAAGGGTCTCCATATTCGTCGTCAATGCTACGATTGACTGGTTCGGCTCGGATAAGTTGGGTAAACAGGGGCCAGGAGGCCGCCACAAGGAGAATGAAAGTCAGATCCAATGGATGACGTGGCATGCAAGTGTGGGCCGAAGAGGATGAAATGTGGGCTCGATGATCTGAAAAGAAGTGGGCATGCGAGGTGGACAGGCATAACGAGAGACTGTTAAGCCAGGGGGGTCTGCGCAGTGCTATGATACCAGAACTTATGTTTCATACGATAGTTACCCTGTCATCAAACCCTGCGACACACACTGCCCTACAAATCGTACAGCTTGTACATCCAGAGTGAGCCCAAGGTATAAAGGAGGAGTCTCCTGTGATTATCAATTTAAATATATCTTGAATCAGTGTTTCATCGAACACTTGACAATATTAGTGCATATCATATGATCTGTTGGCCGTCGACGTTCCGACCTTCGAGCAGCAGTGCTGAAACAAGACACTCACCATTGGTAGGCAGATTGAAAATAGCAGCAGCCTGAGGTGAGTTATTGGTGAGATGCCAGACGTCTATGACAAATGCACGTCTGACATCGTCAATGTGATGTAGAGTCTGAGACCGAAAACCAGCTGAGGGTGCTCATACTTGACTTTGAACGAGAATGACGTGGAATAGAGATCAACACCGGTCACAAACAGAGTTTAGAGTTCAGTACTAGCGTATAAGTAAAGTTGTAGACAAGCTCTAAAAGGACATGAACGATAGGTTATTCACCGACAAATTAAACGATCAGCCAAGAGACTCACCTCCGCTGTCATTTACTCGTGTTCATCTTCTTCGAGATCTATTCCCTCCAAAGGCATAGAAACAAGGTCGTCATAGCCTTGATCATCACAAACAAGCTTTCCCACCCAGCCCATATCTCTCGCTTGTACGACCCACTCCCCCAATGTCTCTGCCACAACAGCTGGCAGCCTCAAGCTCTTCAACTTCTGCCCCGCACGCGCCCTCTCTTCCACCGCGAACTGGATATGTCGCATCGCCCTGTCTATCTCTACCTTACGAGTATCGGTATCCTCGCTGAATCCTTCGAATGGGTCAGACGAGTTGAAATCCCCTATGGTCAGCGTCTCGAGGTCCGGGAAAGCGAAGAACTTGTTGCCCAAGCTGCTGGGGGTGGTGAGCCGTACTCCAAGAAACGGAGCGATGGATTCAGCAGTGCCTGCATCTCCGATGTAGAGCGACTTGGCGCCCGGGCATGCGAGAAATGAAAATTTGTCTAAGAGGACGGTATTTGAGTGGAGACTGCCAGCGTTGGATACCACTCGGCCCAAGTTATACCGAATCTCTGAGCGCATGGACACAGATTCGATGGATTGGGGCGGGAATATGCTAAGCCAACATTGGGGTGGATTAGAGACCCTCTGAACGGGGGTTATGTGATCATGGCGACCGAAGAACTCAATAGAGAGGATTGGCGAATCTCCGTTGGTTAGGCGTTTGGAGAGAGGTGATGAGAGGGTAGCGTCCAGATGAGGAGCCGATTGGAACACGATGAGTCGATGCATGGGTAGTTCGGGGTGGTTCTTGGTGAACAATTTTACATGAAATTCAGCTGACGCTGTTGTCGAGTTGGCCTTCCTGCGGCGGTGCAGGGCTTGCGAGATGAGAGGATGCAGTGAATGAAATGCGAAGTCTTTGCGGTGTAAGCGGAAGGCGAAACGGGTTGTCGGTGGGAGTCGAAGGAGTTGTAGGATGTTCAAACAAACATCACGTGTCCCCGTATAACGTAGTGTCTTCAGGTATGGAAGAGTAACGCAAGGCCCAGAATATGGGATATACGCAGATAGATCATAGAGATTCAAGATGTGGAGTTGCGTAAGTTTAGGCATCACGGAGAGCGTTCGGCATAGATAAGTGACCTGCTGGGTGTCGTGGCTAATCAGGTAAAAGCTAGGGAGGTCCATACGCAAGGAGTTGAGATTTTCCTGCGGATGGTCTGCGGGGAACTCCAAGGGACAGTTCGTGACTAAAGACTGAATGTTCAAGGCCACATCGAGGACAGGAATGCTGTCATTGAAGAGGCCGCTACGCTCGAGGCTGAGTTCGAGGACCTTCAACATAGGTGCCGCCTCGGGATCGAGGACCTTCGTCACCCACTCGGCGACATTATTACATGCCTCAAAAGTGAGTGCAAGCTCCCGGACGCGATGAAGATTGTTCTTCAAAATATTCTTTGTTTCCGGGGATAAGTCCTTCACAATCCTCAATCCTCTGAGTACGATAGATGACTGTTTCGAATACTTCAGCATGAACAGCCTTAGATATCGATTGCGTGTTTTGGAAATATACGTCCACAGAGTCGAACATCCGATGGCTGTGGCACGCCATTGTCGACAGACGTGAAGAATGTGAAGCCACGTATAGTCTGTGGTGGACCAGCGATGATATAGAAAGATGTATGACAAGATTTCAGGTGGTAGGCGCGCCGCGGGAGCGGTTTGTTGAACAAGAGTGGAGGACCTGTCGGCGACCGGCGTAACAACGTGAACTAGGAAAGGTAGACATGATATGAGCAGCATAGCGCTTGAAAAATCCTGAAATGCCACTCACCTTTGCGTGTCTTCGCCATCTCGAGGCCCAATTGCGGGCAGTAATAGAGAAGAGCTCGTCGACGTCAAGTGAAAGGGACGAGCGCCGCCTGCTTCCGTGACTCGGACACCGACGTGCACGTGTATCTGCGGTTTGTATCATACTGGGGGAGCGCTGCCTTCGGCAACAGTCACCTTGCTTGGTAGATAGGTTTGGCGCTTCACCATATTTTAATGTTACACGGCCTACGAAACTCGGACCCACAAGCAATTGTGAGATAGGGCATGAAACATTGAAAAATCACACGAAAGACAATTTTGGACCAACACCACCATTATTATTCGCAGCAGTACAGTACGCAATGGTCAACACGGAACGCTCTGACTACGCAAATGGACGAGCAAGGAGAGGACGGCTGTGTGGTCGTGGCACTGTAAAACAGTCGGGTAGCAAACACATGCTGAACAGAAAAGAATGAGAGGGTAGGCGCGGAGCAAGCAGACGATCAGAGAGAGCGGGTATAAAAAGGTGGTAGAACGGACGGGAAAGTGGGACCGAACGGAGCCAATAGTATCAGTAGTCTCAAGCAGTGCGAGATACCTTCGGAGGCGCAATAAGTCCATCAGAGTCAGTCGTCAGCACACGCTTTCTCTTCATGGGAGAAACCGGGCGAGGCTGAGCCGCCTCAACCACCGAATCTTCAAGATATCAGCGACGAACGTGTTATTACCCGCAACGCCCTCCGACCGTGGCCCGATGGGGTAGTGCTTCAGACCGAAGGTCATGATGACGGTCGCTCCTTGAAGTTTCGCACGATAGTCCTTGGGCTTGATGATGCTGCCGTCAATGTCGTATGCAGGGAGGGGATTGTAGACGCGAGTCTCCTTGATGGCCTGAGTTCAGCTGCGGCCTTGGGACTTGCGGTCAGGATGTTCTGAAGGCCTGATGAGCTTCAGGGAGGCCTTCGCATCCGTTATCGTGCCGGTGAAACGAGTGGGGCCACGATAGCCGGCCGTCGCATCCGCCCAAAAGTCGTCATGAGCAACTTGGCTGAGAATGATCAGAGCGGCGGGGTCGGTTGACGGGGAGGGGACGGCCTCGGCGACGGCAGCGATGTTCACTCTTTCCTGACGCATCCAGACCACGGAGTCCTGAGCAGCAAAGGATGTGTTGCCGGTGAAGAAGGGGAGGTGGCGAAGGTGGTCGAGGACGAGCTCGGTGTCCAACCCAGGGGGCGTGGCCGCAGTGGAGGGGTTGGCGGCCCCAGTCGAGGTGCTGTCAGGTACGGAGGTCAGCATTCACATCAAAGCGGGCGGTTGTATGATAGACAATGTGATGGGTACTCACCCTGCCTCCGTAGCCGCATGACCATCAACACCCTCCGCTTCGGTGGTCACACCAGCATTGGGAACCGTCCTAAGCAGGCAATGGTACAATATTGATAGGTTTGAGTGCCAAAGCTCAGTTATAAGCTTCGAAAGAGTACGCACGGAGGGTCTATCGGCTTCAGCTCGTGATTCTCGCCCCCATCACGCAGTCTTGCAATGGTCCTGCACAAGTTATAGGCCAGAGATAGTTTAGATCCCTGACGATAGGTAAAGTTTAAGATATGAACGTACCTCTCGGTTCATGGTCATCGAGCAAGTAACAAGAGGCAGGTGCCACTATCTTATCAAAGCCAAGATGGAGAGATCAAATCTCCGATGTTTGGTCATGTTTATTTCCGGGTCGATTCTGAGGAATTACGGGGGTAGGATGGACCTTCAAGCAAGGTAATGTGGCGGTGGCCCCAAGCGTCCCCACCGGCATTGTCCGGTAAGGGCCTGCAAGGGCGTAGAAATTGCATGTACGATTTTGCCAGAAGTATCCATTCTTCATAGTGTGAGACATCTCTGAAGCCTCTTATGATTCTGTCTCCAGTCAACACAATTTGTTTTGAGAAACCCCAATGCCTTACCAGATGAGAAAGTACGCACGAAGGCTCCAATGTGATCCTAAAGTTGAAAGTTGTATGGTATGCAAACAAAACACAGGCAAACAGATGTAGTGGATGAATGTAGAAACAGCAGTGGGGTGGGTTGGAGTACAGATAGAGACAGTGGTAGTAGTACGAGTAACAAGTAAATGAGTAAGTATATAATGCATTCCGGGTTCCACCATGGTCTCAGAGTAAACCCTAATCGAAAATAACCCCACCGGTAACGACAACGACAACGACAACGACGTCAACTTGAACTCAGATAAACTCACTCATCCGCACTCCGTTTACGACCATATCACTAGCTCCATTCGCCCTCCTACGGTCTTGAGACTCAGCTGGTCCCTGCGTCGATGAAGGTGATGTAGGCGAAGTAGCGCCACCAGAAGTGCCCGCCACAGGCGTGGACATGGACATCGCGCTCAACTCCACTCCTACCCCCGAACCGATCTCACCAGCACCGCTGCCTGTCTTCGAACGTCCAATCCCAAGCCCGAGCCTAAACAATCTTCGTCCTCCACCTTGACCCGACCCGTCCCCACTCGACGAACTAACACCCGACGTCTCAGGTCGAGACATCGACCCCGACGGCGGTTGAGAGGACGAGTCCGCAGGCCGCGAAGGCCTCGGCGCTGGAATATCCCCATAAAAGTTCATAGGCCACATCGAGATATCTTCTCTGATCATAGGCGGGGGTGCGCGCGGTTGTGGACGCGTATGGACCCTCGGAGGTTGTCCTCGCATGACCGGCGGTGGGCGTGTATGTGCGGGCTGTGGGCGGCGGAGAGGTGTCATCGAGGAGGTTAAGGAGGACGGGGCGACAATGGATTGTCGATCGCGTGCGGGCGAGAGGTTTAAGCCTCCGACTGCAGCGCCAGTATGATCTTCGCCGGTGGAATCAGGGTCGACCTCGCGAACGAAGAATGGGGCCAGAGGACCACTGTTTCCGTTCGGCTCCCAGGGTAGACTGACGATTCCGAGCTCGTACGATCCATCCTCACCGAGATAAGGTCCTTCCTCCTCGTCTTCTTCATCTATAACTTCTTCACCAGCCATGGCATCCGCCTCGTCCTTTGGACCAGCATCTACGCCTGGATTTGGCCGATTCGCATACGCCGGATCGTCAAGGTAAGTCTCATCTGACCGCGTCTGCGCCTCAGACGAGGAGCCCGCAAGTACAGGTAGAGGTAGGAAAGAAGGCGTATGGACCGCGTGATTCATGAAGTCCGAGTCCGTGAAGTTGATATTGTCGGGGGCCGTGCTCGTGTGGTCGACGATATCGCGATCCGAGGCGCGCGCCTTGCCCTTTCCTTTCAAGTCCCGAGGAGCAGAAGTGGTACTGTCGACGTTGCGTCTACGAAGCCCTGCGCGTGCCTTCGAGCGACTTTCGGAAGGCATAGCGATCAGGACTGTGACTCTCAGCTTCGTCTCTGCTTGCTCCCCTTTGCCCTCTACCTCTGTACCACCGTGCCCGCGAATAGGACCAGGACCGTTATGCCGCGAAGACGACGCTACAGCATCGGTCGGTGTGGCGTCGGCGACAGAGAAGGGGTGTATACCGCGAAACCAGGCTTGAGACATCAGGACGTGAAGCTCGACGCCGCCGCCGTCTGGGTGACCTGTCGTGGCATCATGAGAAGAAGGTGAAGCCGAGAGTGTATTTGAGGCGTCCGACGTTGAGTTTGAGGTATCCGGAGCGAGTGTGTTTCCGGCGACGGTAGCGGAAGTGTTCGGCGGTGGGTCGAGGTAGAGTGAGATTGGCTGGACGAGATAGAATAAAGAAAGGAAAAGAAAATGTGGAGGTCAGCGTTGTGTGTGAAGCGGGCAGCTCGGAGATGAATATTGGACAGATATTGAGCGTCAGGTGCAGAGCAGAACTCGTGCACCTCACGATGCCCACACAAACAATTAATCAAGCATGATGAAACGCTCAATAACACACAAATAACACAACTCAAAAGCAGAAACGTGCTCGAGATGATAGGGGATGATGAGCGCATGCTCCCGTGCTCTCATTCTCTCATGACAATCTGAGAATACGTGTACGAAGAGACGGGAACGACATGAAACATCAGAGGCATCACATTGAAGAAGCATTGCGTGCGAGAAGAATCCGTGTGGGACCGACGCAGAAATTACTGCACAGCGCCTGACAGTTGAATCTGTACTCTATATCTGGGAATAGATCGCCTAGATGAGGTCGGGACACTCGTGCATTCGTGGTGAACAATACATACGCTGTGCATACCGTCCGCACAGCAATTAGGGAGACCCACGCTCGCGGTACACGGCTTTCGAGTGGATTCAGGTGCGCGGGAGTCTGAAGGAGAGAAAGATAGAGGCGGGATTACGATGACGCTATCGCCGATGTGGAACGCGTACTACTGTACGGGGACACTGTCCGCGAGAGACGTGCAAGAGACAAAGATTGAAGACCTGAAGACGAAGAAGCCGAAATAATAGAGAACAGAGTGAATAGAACAAAACGTACCATGATGTCTCTCCACTCTGTCTTTCCCAATCCCGAAGTTCCGTCGACGCCATTCAAACCTCTGCTCGGATCCAAGTAAACCTCGAACATCTCTGGTCTTTCACCTATCTCCCTGACTTTCCTTGTTCCTGTCGTTCCGGCTGCTCCGGTACCCCCCCGCGCCCGTCTTCTCCTCATCACCAACCTCCGTCCTCCGACCGCAATACTCACGATCGCGACGAATAATCCAAGGAAGGTCAGCAAGAACCCAAGCGTGGATTTGGATATACCTCCCCCATCCCCATTATCGAGGTTAACATCTGTAGATGAGCTCGCTGGTGCAGCAGAGGACGTTGAGGTAGGGGACTGCGAGGAAAGCGAGGAAGAGAGCGAGGACGAAACGAGTAATTCGAGGGAGTCATGGAGGAGATCTGGGTCATGGTGCTGCATGTTCTCATCCCTGCCGAGTTGCTGCTTTTCTCCAACCTACAGACGCTCGAACTGAAAATTCGAGGGTCACGCTCGACGCTCGGGAGCAGGAATGAAAGCTAAGAAAAGAAGGGGAGCGGGACCCAAAGATGGTGCGGGAACTCGAAGAGTCCGCCTGATGTAGATGTGATACTGTTACTGTTCCGAATGAAATGTAAGCATGCACAGTAGATGTACTAGGACAGAAAAGGAGAGAAGTCTAAGAAGCCGATAGACCGAGTGGAGTCGAAGGCGAGAGGGGGGTCGCCTGCACTCGGGGTGGCAGATGGATGGAGGTGTCCGTGGTGGGGATGGCCTGCCTTGTGAGGGCGGAAAATGGAAGAAGAGAGATATGGAGGATGGAGATAAGTTGGACCTTGTGCGCGCAAGAGCAGGTGGACGCCATCAGTCGCTGGGAGAACTTTTGGTGCGCACACGGTCCAACTCGCGACGTTGGGGGTCCAAATTAGACGCTTACAGTTTCAGTCAACGCCCTTTGCGTAAACTCGCGATCTTCTTCACGACCACGACTCAAGGTACGTTCCTTGCGCTCCACTCTTCCTTTAGGCTTGTCGGCGTGGCTTTTTGGTGAAGTTGTTCGTTGCATGGGGGCCACATCTGAGTTGTGACAATTCATACGCCACAATTAACTTCGCCAATTCTCGTTTCATCCACTCCCCATCCTATCTTTGTCGGAAAAGACAAATTATGATCTTCTTCGACGCAATGTCACCCCGGATTGGCGACATCGCTAAGTCTCAATTCTTCTCAATCACTAACGTCCGGACCCGGCGTCTCCTTTGATATCACGATGTCCTGACTTCCCCATGGCCTTAGGACGCAACGTGCTACATACTCCCACATCCCTGCGCCAGCCGGTCGAGAGCAGCTGGCTGCTCTGCTCACAGGAGACTAACCAATCGTAGAATTCCTTCAAGCCGGTAGATACGGCGACCCGCTCTCCCTTGATGCGGTCCTCAGCGTTCCTTATCTGAACAATCTGAAACGTCCCCCGCTGCTTGCTCTTGGTTCAATATTTTCCGTGAACTTGGTGCTCGAGGAATAGTGTCTTGGAACGATGATTCACTCTGTCTCGACAAGTGCTAGGTCGCTATCGTATGCTTGGGCTGGGTTCACGATGGTAGAAATCTGGAGAGCTTCTTACTTTGTCCGACTCCGATTCTGACGAGGCTCTCCACCCGTTGCTGGCGCAACGTCCTCGGGCTCTTTCCTCTGCCACTTATCTTGTGATTATGGCACTAGTATCTCCGGTCCTGTCGTCTTGCTGTATGAGAACCTCTGTGTTTATCTGCATGGTACTCACAGCGGGGGAATTCGACCATAATTTAAATCAAAAGCACACGCGAAGTGTTGCGACAGAGATAGCCAAATATATTGTTGGATACATATGGTGTCTGGTGGGGTCTATACGTGGCCATTGGTAGCACGTCCTTCGATTCTTGCTCTTACTGGGTTTCTTCAACCCGAGGGCCACTGTTATGGCTAACATCACACGTCCTCCGACTTGTCAAGAAAAGCTCCCAATACATTTGTTCGTGTCGTATCAACCTCTCTAGAGACCCTTCCGCTGAAGCTTCATGTGTGTTCTTCAGCTGTCTTGTGCTATGGTTTGAATCTGTATAAAACTTACCTTACTTGTGGGCAGCTGTGTCGCAACGCCACACACCACCTTGCAGCTGGTTTTCTCCGACGATCGAAACTTGATCGCGACACAAGGTTGAGTTTCCTTGTGTCCCTCATGGTCCCACTTAGTCTCCGAGAGCAAGTGCTGATTGTCCTGCCTCCGAGCCTTGCTGCTCCTGCGACCGGCCTGAACGCCATCGTCACCACGGAAAAATCTCTTGTGACTTTCTAGACATCATATCACTACCAGTGAGGCGAGTTCGATCTCTACTCGATCGAAAGGCAACGGAGACCTAGGCCAAAAGGAATAAAAATGAATGGAGAACTCAGATCGCGCTTCCTGAACTTGCTCCGTGATGTCAGCGACGTCAATGTTGAACTCTGAGATCTGCTTCCTTCCCAACTCAGATGGACATGAGCAGGGATTATATAAGGACTTGACGCGTTTCTGCGTCTCTGTCTCTTCGTCTCTTTTCCGCCTTACTCTTTCTCTTGACTCGGCGTGACCGCCCACGACTTTCTTTCAACCACACCTCGTCTAGCTAGTCTAGGAGACCGCAGCACCATGGCAGACGGCGTACGTATTTGCCTTCTCCATTTTCACACAGTCTCAGAGGGCTGGCTGACATCTTTTCCCGTCCCGCCCGATCCACTTCACCCTTACAGAGTATCAGCGTGAACCCCACGGTCGCGAACATCGACATCAACAATGCCACCACGGACTGGCTGTGGGCGGCCTTCGCCGTGATGTTTCTCTCGTAGGTCTTATTTTCTGTATTTGCTGCCCGCCGGAGGTTCTGATGACATGGGATTTTAGTGATCTGGTTTTCATCTATTGGTCCTACACGGTGAGCATCTGTCCGAGTGATCACTTCACGGTCGATGATGGCGGGTTCGGATGAATACTGACTGTGCTGGTGACTGATACAGAAACCCATCGGCATGCGCACTTTCTATCAACTTCCAGTTCTTATCCTGTGAGTGCCTCCTGCATTCTTGTTTACACCATTCGTGATGCATTCCTGACTTTTTGCTGCGTTGGATGGTCGGTGACAGCTCGACAGCCAGTATCGCGTACTTCTCCATGGCCAGTGACCTCGGCGCCACTCCCATCGTCGCAGAATTCCCTCGTGGCGCCGCCGCTGGTAGCACGCGTAGTATCTGGGTACACCGTCTCTCGTGCCTTCCCTGTTCTTGCCCAACACTCGTTCTGACTTCCTTTTGGTTTTTTTTGTCTTTGTTTTGTGTCTAGTACGTCCGCTACATCGATTGGACGATCACCACTCCTCTTCTTCTACTTGAGCTCCTCCTGGCTACCGGTCTCCCACTCTCGGAAATCCTCATCATCATCTTTATGGACCTTGTTATGATCGTCGCGGGCCTTGTCGGTGCGCTCGTTCAGTCGAGGTATAAGTGGGGTTACTGTGCGTATTATTTCATCCTTATCTGCTTGTTATCTTCCGTCCTAGCTAAATTCTTGACTACGATACAGACGCATTCGGTTGCGGAGCGCAGTTTTTCATCTGGTGGGGTACGCTCGTCAAAGCACCTCAAGCCACGACGGCCATGGGCAATGACGTTCGCAGGTCTTATACCGCTTCAGGTGAGCCGTTCCCTCTACCGCCTGCGAAGCGTAGCACGCTGCTCACCAGATATCATATTTTTATTGCCCACAGCTTACGCCTTGGCTCTCATCTGGCTGTTGTACCCTGTGCGTTTCTATCAATTACATTTTCTTCTTTTGGGCAGGAGCTGAATCTGTGTCCTAAACTGTTTAGATAGCATGGGCCGTCGCAGATGGTGGCAACGTCATCTCTCCGCTTAAGGAGATGATCTTCTACGGCAGTACGTTCATTTCTCTCTTGGTTCCAATTTTCATCAATCCATATTCTTCCCTCCACTTGCAGTCCTCGACCTTGTCGCCAAACCTGTCTTCTGCTTCTACCACGCCTACCAAATCAGCAAAGTCCCCTACGAACGCTTCCTCCTCTCCTCCGGCAAAGCATCCACTGGCGCCGGTGGTGTTCTTCCCGGTACATTTGTCAATGGGCAGTATGGCAATGGTCAGGTCGTTGAGCCGAATCCTGTTGTGCCGATGGCGCAGGCCTCGAACGGTCATACCAACTACAATCTGAATTCGGTTGGCGGGATCGGTGGGATTACGGGCGTGCGGGAGGACTCGGAGGGCGCTAGCTATGGTATCGGGAACGGAGTGGCGACGGTGCCGGGGTCGTTGAATGCGAGAGAGGGTATGGCGAGGAGGGTTAGTGGGAGGGGAGCGGCTGAGGCGCAGTAGATGATCTGTCGTTCTACCAGAGCTCCTTGTGCGTCGTTGTCGATGCAGCCGGCGGCGTAAGTAACCTGACATAGCCGTCGGTTTTTTCTATGTATCGTATCTCGATTTGTATGTAAGGCTGGAACACACTCTATGGTATTGCACACTTCTATCTAGAGACCCAAAGGTCGGTTTTTGTAACACAATCTCTTGGACATGCTTCGTTCTAGACAAGCAACTGCGGCGGCCGCTGGCGCACTGAGCGCGAGTACTTATTTAGTAAGTACTGGGACTGAGTGCTGGGTTCATATCTACATCAGTGACTCTGTTCACGAACATCTGGTCTGAGTATGATGACGAACGGCCAAACCACGACTTGCTGGCAATGGTTTTAGTGCCACACAGCGTCCGCCACACAGCCGTGGGCCAACAGCGGAGTTTCGGGGCTTCAAAGAATGCGGCCCGGACCAGCTGTGTCACAATTTTGAACTCGACTCGTTTCTACAACGTTTCTGTCAGTGGGCGTCCTCCTTCTGCTGTCTTGTCTAGGTTGAGTTTCTGCTGCTATGTTCCCTTCTGATGCTCTTTAGCTCATGGATTTGGCCTGAAGAGAACGCTTCTGCTTCAAAGCTTCGTGCTTGGTACACGGGCCATTTTTCGACTTGCCTCCAGCTGCCTGCTAAATAAGTGCTACTGTACTTTTTCGACCAAGTGTTCGTGGGAGAATTATGTCAGCCGTGACCACCGCTGGGCCACGGTTCGTTCAGGTGGGCCACGCGTGACGAACAGGCGAAATTGCTCGCATTTGGCCCAAAATTTGCATTTTTGACGATTTTGTGCGCAAATCGGTCACGATTTTCTGTTCGTGAACCCCTTTGTATGCGTGACGCCGGGACCAAATCTGTTCGTCGACGCAGTCGGCGTGACGCGTGACGAACAGTTGGTCGAAAAACTACTGTACTTTTTCGACCGTAGGTTCGTGGGAAGATTATGTCAGACGTGACCTTCGTCAAGACCACGGTTCGTTTGGGTGGGCCACGCGTGACGAACTAATGAAATTGTTCGCGGACTGACCCAAAAATCAATTTTTGGGTGATTTTGGCGCAAATCGGTCACGATTTGCTGTTCGTGGGCCTGCGCATATGCGTGACCATCAGGGCAAATATGTTCGCCGGCGCACCCTGTGTGATGCGTGACAAACCTACGGTCGTAAAAGTACAGTACAGTACGCTTCCTCAGGCTCAAGAGTGTTGTAAAACGCGCCCACTCCCGAGTCTATAAATGCAGCCTGGCTGCGGTGGTGATCTAGGTAATACCTGAATATGACGGGCTTGGTCTGAGGACTTCTCGTTGCCAGCTGATCCCATAGCCAGAGCTTCCTGAGCTGCTTGGAAACTATCAGGCTTCTCCGATCCGTGGTCGACGTCTGACCCGTGGTTTCAAGTTATTCATGCATGCGACTACCCAACCTGGCTGTAAATTGACACCCGGGGGGCTATGGACGATTTTCGGCTGATATGCGCCCTTCGGGTGTGATAACATCATGTACGGGGTAAGCTTGGCCGTACGAATCATCAGATCGCTACGCTTGCGCTGATATACTTAGTTGTAGAGCCTTGGTTCTCGCGAATTCCTAGTCATTCTGAAACCAGTTATCGAACCAGACTTGCGTTGATCATCTCACCTGCTCTGATCCTGAGTCCTTTCAAGGCGACGTGACAGCCGCCCGTATTAATATGTAACCGAGGCAGCCACAGAAGCCCTTGCGTAACTATCAGACGCATCAGACAGATCCAATCATCCGCTGTGGTCTGATCTTCTATCGATGATTGACGAGTGACCACATATCTTGCAGTCACGTCCCGCTCTTTGGCATGCTCTGCACCGATAGCTCCCTTATATACTAGACCTGTGTTGATGATGCTATTCAGACAGGGCGGTTCAGGCGCTGACGGATGTGGATGGTCGTTCAGCCGTCGTAAAGATATGCTATATGTAGGCAAGTAATTGTCTATCAATACCAAATCAATACACGAGCGGGAATGCCCTGCATCACGGATATCCCATCTCTATCAGCTTAGGACGTATATATGCCAACCACTGTTTTTCTCGGGGAATCGCCACTGGCGTCGACCAGTTTCACTTCGTCTGAAAGCCTTTTCAGCCTTCATTTTATCTTATTTTCTCATTTTATTTCCTCACGATTCCTTCAGACCTTCGTGAGGTGATATGCGATAGATGGCTCCCCTGTCTTTAGCAAAAGCCACCATTATTTCTGCTGGACTAACATGCATTCTTTACGGTGTGTTCCTATGCTTCCCGTGCCTATTCGCTATATTCCTGATAATACAATCTTATCCCTGGTACTAAATATGCTGTACCACCCATGATTTCAGGTTTTTCGCTCTTTATGTTCGGGTTCACTCTCTGGGTGCTCGTCAACGGGAGACCAATCGGTGAGATCAACCGGGTGATGGCTTCCGTCGCTCTCACTCTCTTTTTGATCAGTACGGCGGTGCGTTCTTTTATATAGTACTATCCAACAGACCCTTTTCAGTCCGCTTTTGCGCGGGTGGTTAACCCAGAGCTAACCCTATTCCACGTCTGCTGTGGTATCGTATCAGCATATCTCAATCCTTTTACGACATGTAATAGAGGGACTCCTCGACCAATCCTCTCCCCATGAATTCTTTATGGACAAATCCTCCGCGACGTTCATTCTGATACTCGTCATGTATGGACTTCAGACGATAACGGGAGATGGGGTACTTGTGAGTGTTCCCGTCTTGATCCTATATGATATTCTGACAAAGGCATCATCTGTCCGAATCTGGAATCTTGTTGTATGACCAGATATATCGGTGTTATGTCGTATGGCAAGGTCGACTCGTTGTGATCCTTGTCCCGGTATCGCTGTTCTGTGGTTTCCTAGGTGAGATTCTCGGCTTTAAATGACACGCACCACTCGCGAAAACTGGATCCAGAGTTTTGTCATATTAGAAATAGTGTGGTCGAAGAGCGATTGCTAACTCATCATTTTGACCTTCATTGACAGGCACATCCTTCACGGGCATCTGGGCCTATGCCCTAAATCATGCGCAGCTCGGTTTTATTCTACTCGTATCGTGTGCTTGCTTTTCTATCCTCACCAACGTCATCTGTACAAGTGAGATTTTCCCTTCCTCTGACGTCCCGCCTTATTGTGTCGAGTTGATATTATTGACCAATCCATCCCGTCTTCGCTGGCCATGGACATGGCTTTGTAGCACTCCTAGCCTACAAGTTGTGGAAATTCCACTCATACATCCTTCCGCCCATTGAAGCATCAGGAACGAGATCCCGCAGGTCTCCACTCCTTCCGGTCATCTATGCTATTGTCGACGCCGGCGTTTTGTACTCCGTGACACTCGTAACGACGTTAGTGTGTTTCGTTCTGCTCACGAACGTCTTGGCGATCATGTTAGAAATTGCAAGTCTCTCTGCTGCTAATCACGCTGGTTGAATAATATGTTCGCTAATATATGCAGCAGACTGTTCCTCTGATCGCAATCATATTCTACGGTGTCATCATCCGAGTAGGGTTGGGTAAGGCCTCGACCGACCGTGATATGCCGGAGAATACTGGGGGCAACGCCGGAGTCTTGAGTACCATCGTGTACATCAATAATCAGGAGACTCAAAGGACCACTGCAGCCGGACACGATGATGCGAACGAGACAGGGATGACTATCGCACTGGAGAGCTCAATGGATTCGGTGTCGACTTGAAACAAATTTCATGGACTCTAGTGACTTGCAATAGGACTTTCTTTCTTATTCCTTTTTTTGACAATGATCACGGCGTTGTATTGTGAGTACGTCTGATCCAAATTTCAATTTCGTCCTTCCATTTTGCTCCCCTTTGTCACTACTGAGGCAGGTCGTGTCGCTGCCATGTCCTCATCTTCTCGGTCAATCCAATTCTCAAAGTTTGACCGTCGACCGTTCACAAAGTAAAACACTACGCTCATCCAAAAGAGTGTATACAATTGGAATTCAGAATTATTTACTGCGAAGTCTGAACCCGAAACATGCGTCGCACAGCCCCAGCGACGCTCAGGGATGTAGTCTACTGCTAGTCTATCTAAAGCGTACTCGAAATATAAGTAGCTAGTGGATACAGTGATGTGGGTAGGTGTAGGTAACGGTGAACAAAGCTCCGATTCGAATGAAAAGGGGAGTCTACCGTCGCTGCGCGACAGGCCCGGCGCAGTCTTCGGGCAGTATAAGGTGTTGTTGGTGGATAGGTGGAGTGGTGGATGTAAGCGGGTTGACTGTAGAATGTAAGAGGGAGAAATGAAGCATAATCATGAAAGAAATATAATGAGACAAGGAAAGCGAGCGAAATAGAGAGGAAAGCATAAAGGAGAGCAAACAAGACATAAGGAAAATGAGCAAGATAAAGCAAAATGTGATGTGAAGATAGCATATGGACAAGAAAGCAGGGTCAAAGCATGAGACGATGCAATGCGAGAGACGATATGAGAATGTCTGAATACATCTACTTCCGAGATGATGTCCGTCCATAGCCACCTGAGCGATGACGTTCACCCCTAGCAGCTTCCCCACCTCCAAGTCGGCCATATGGCACTCGCGGCGCGCTGGCTTCGTCGAAATCGTCGTGACCCCAGACACCTGCATCG